CTGATTCCTACTATTTAAATGATTTGTATTCGATTTTGAATTGATGTGTACATAGGACATATAACTATGTGTGTAACCATGTACATTTTTGGGCCGCAAAACAGCTGTTTTCTTACACACACAAAGTTTATTTAATTCATATGTACATTAGGGTGCATCACTCCCCACAAAAAAAAAAATATAAAAAAAATCTGTACTGCTTTTCCGTTGGAAAAATATAAAATCTATTACGTATAAAGACTTCCACCAAAATATTTCGGACAAATATTTAGATTGACGTTAGCTGGAACTATTTGAAAATACCTCCAAAAATCTAGTTTTTATGAATTTCTAAAATTTGTTTTTGAACATATATATATATTTTTTTAAATCAACTCAGATGATGAAAAAGTCAAGCTTCAAAGGTCTGCATAAAAATATTTAAAAACTTTGGTCAATCTAATCGAATAAATGCGATTTTGGGAGATGTTTTCAAAGCAGTCTAGTTAAGACACATTTTAATATTTTTCCAAATATTTGGCGGAAATCTTAAGATATAATAAATTTTATAACTTCGGTGAAAAAACCGCAACTTTTTTTGGTGATGCATCCTAATGGACATATGTATCTACTATATGTACCCACATGCATAGGTACATATATATTTATATATGTACATATGTTTATGTTTAAACATAAAATACATTTTTATTACATACATATAGACAAATTGATTACGCCGCAACATTTATTATTATTTAATTCGATTTTTGATCTATGTTTTACTCGGTTTCTATTTACAAGTTTTTATTATCTTTGTATCGCACTTTTATAATGCTTTTAAATTTTGTTTACGAATTTAATGATTTTTATTATAGCATTTTTACTTTGTTTGAGTCATATGTTTGTGTGTTTGTATGAAATTGTTCGCAGATTTTTTATTTAATTTTATTCAATAAACGCAGATGATTGGAAATTTCTATAAAAAAGTGAATGAAAATCTGCTTTGCCTTTTGCCAAAAACAAATAGCAAAATAAAGCTTACTTAAGAAAACAAAATTTTCCATTTCGCACAGACATCAATATTGACGAACAATAATAAAAATTGAAAATATGAAATGTTGCAGAATGTCGAAACTTTTACGACGCGATCAATATTTCTAGGAAAAATACTTTTATTTTCTCCAGTTTTAGCTTTAATTGGTAGGAAATTATTGCTGTTTAAGCAGTCACGGCCAAAGCTAGTGCCCGGAAGAAGCTTTTTAAAGCTTTCTAGAGTTGTATAAGAGCATGCACAGAGTAAAAACTCTCTCTAATCGTCTATGTATGCCATTGTAATTGAAATTAAGAATAAAAGTCATGGGGTGGTTTCTTCAATACATAATATTCATGAAAATTCTCTAAAAGGCTGTTGGAAATTAGACACTGAAAGTTTGATGAATATTATTCGACTGCGCTTCAAAGGAGTGCTGGTAAGAGGCAGTTTTTATCAATTTGCAGCTACATACAGATATAAAAAAAGGAATGAGAGCACTTGCTTCTCAAACTTGGCTTTAAAGCACTAATGGGCACTGCCTTGCCCGCGCTTTCTGTGCATTTTTTATAGGCGCGTGCAGAGAAAAAGCTCTCTCTGAGCATCGCTTCTTTAAAGCAGTGATGAGCGGTACTTTGCCCACATGCAGAGCTTTTGCAAGCTTGTTTGAAGAAGTGTTCACATGGTGAAAGCGCTCTTTGGCCATTACGATAAAAAGAAGTACTCCGAATTCGAAGGTTTATGTTGATTTTATACAATAAAGATCAGAATGAGCTTTTACTTTGAGCGTGGTATAAAAACCTTCTGAAGGGTTTAAGAAGCATCTATCGCTGAATGCTATGTTTGGATAAGTTTAGAAAAGCATACATACTTATGAAGCGCCAAATTCTGCTTTAAAGTGCCGACAATAGGAGAGAGATTTTATTCTGTGCGAACTAGTATGAAATCTCTAGAAAGCTTTAAAAAGTTTCTTCCGGAAGAGACCCACCCGGCTTTTAAGTCACAAAAACTCTTGCGCCTCCGATGGAAAAGCTAATGGGATAATGTTTTCGGACTTAATATAATGTTCCGGCCTTTTGTTACTAGCGGAAGAGTGCTAAAGATTGTATAAGTGTTTGATCATTAACTCCTTGAGGAACAAGGGATCCGTTTTCCCTCAGAGTTTTATTAATTTCATTTTAGGTATTATGATTATTAATTTTTTGGAAAAAGTAAAAAAAAACATTATCTTTCTTTACTGCAGGTTCGCGGTCCGGAGATGGTTGTTAGTAATAGGAATTTTAAAGTTTTAATTTTTTAAAGTTTTGTCCGAGCTGTTTTTTGCGGAAAATAATTTCTCAAATTGAGAAAATCGCGCATCATTCAATTACCCGTTTAGCATCATAAGTTGCATTCTCTAAACTTTTGCAGAGGAAAACATACCTAGTCCCTTTTTGAAACACACTGTATTTTAAAATCCCTTCAAATACTGTGGTATTCCTTTCTTTTTGTTATATTTTATTTTATTTTATTTTATTTTATTTTATTTTATTTTATTTTATTTTATTTTATTTTATTTTATTTTATTTTATTTTATTTTATTTTATTTTATTTAATACACTTTTTTACTTATTCCATTTCTTTTATGAAATTTGGACTTTTTGAAATCATTTGTTATTTTTTTCACTTCTTACAATTTTTATTAAAATTTGTATAAAACTTCCTTCTTTTAATTCATTTTACTTTGTTTTGCTATATTTAATATAATTATATTTTATTCTACTTTTGATTTCTTAAAATTTTTTAGTTCAATTTATTGTTGATTTTTTATTTTTAGTTTTCTCTTTTTTAGTTTATCACATTTTATTTTATTGTTTTTATTAAATCTTTATTTTTTTAATTTATTTCACCTTATTTTATTTTATTTATTTTTGTTAATTTTTTAATTTATTTATTTTTTTGTATTGCTTTTAATTTTTTAATATTTTATTTTTTTTCATTTTAGCTAACTTTTTATTTTAAAGTTAATTTAATATTATTTTACGTGTTTCATTCATTTCGTTTAATTTCATTTTTTTGTGTTAATCAATATTACATGTTATTTCTATTTTGATACCTTAATTTACTTTATTTATTTCATTTTTTTATTATGATTTATTTTTTTTGTTTTATATTAATTTATACTTTTTCAGTTTAATTTAGTTAATTTTATTTTAATTATTTATTATTTTTTAATATTTTTTTTTCCATTTGAATTAACTTTTTTTTGTTATTTTATTACATTTTAATTTTATATTTAACATTTATGTTTCTCTTTATGCCCATTATAATTTGCTTTGTATTATTTTACCTTAATTTTATTTTTATATAATTTCATGTTTTATTATTGTTATTTTGTTTTTAACTTTTTTAACATGTTGTTATTTGCTTTATTTTTACATATTTCATTTCTACTTTTTTATTTATTTTTATTTGTATATTTTACTTAATGTTTTATTTTTTTATCCCGTATTGTTTTAAATATTTGGTTTAATTTGCCAAATTTGTTATAACATTTAATTTTATTTTTTACTCTGTACCTTTATAGCTTTATTTTACGGTTTTATTTTATTTTTTGCTTCATTTTGATGTTTATTATTTTTTAAATTTTGTTTCAATAAATTTTTATTTTGTTTTAATTAGTTATTGTTTTTAATTTTTTTTTAGTTTAGTCTGTTTTGTTTCTACTTGATTTTAGTTTTATAAATTTTTCTTCAGCTCTTTTTATTATTTTTATATTTGATTTATTTTTTTTTAACTTTTTTTCTTTTTTATAAAATTCTTTTTGTTTAAATTTGTCCTTTGCATAATTTTAATGGTGTACATTTACTACTCTTCATTTTTTACATATTTTTATTGAAACGAAATCAGTCTCTTTGCCATAAACAATAGGCATTTGTACTACGCCCCATCGTCCTCGCCGTTGTTTCGCTTAGGGAAACATTCGTACAAATCTCGATTACAACATCTTTGGATACGGTTCGTTTTGAACAGTTTACCTTTTTTAAATTTCATTCACAGTTTGTGTAGATATGAGTTTGTTTGTAGTTGGAAATTATTTTTATGCTTTCAATTATGTACATACATACGTATTTTTATAAAATAAAAGAGATATTTGAGGACCAACGCTTGGAAAATGAAACGAACTATAAAGCAGCGTACTGCAATTGCAACAGCCAACAGCTAGTAAATATGTACATACATATGTATGTATATGTATTCTAAATAGTAACAAGGCAACAACGACGAGCTATAAAAAATAGAAGAAAGGAAAATATACACCGTTAACAGCTATCAATAAAACTATAAATTTTTTAGAGTTCGCACAGCAAAATTAAAATGAATGAAGGCAAGCTGAGTAGCTAAGATGCCTGGCTGGCGGACAGGCAGGCAGGCAGGCAGGCAGACAGCAGCAACACATCAGCGCACCTGACTCCCAAACACTTGCCATAAAGCTGTTTTTCCCACATGGCTGTTGTTTTTTTAATATTAGCCTTTTTTTAATTTCCTTTTCTTGTTTTCTTAAAAAAAAAATAATCAAAATATTTTCATTGTATATTTCATTGGCAACAAAAATCCAGACTATCGCAGTCAAGCAGATGAATTTTCTTTTTAGATTTTATGTTGCTGGCTGCTTAACTTTCTTTCACTTTTGTTTGTGCTGCTTTTTAAACTAATCGATGCACTCTTTAAATGCCAGAGGTAGAAATGAGTTTTATGTTTTTTTTCAATTTGAAAAATTTTCATTCATCTTTTTTAGTAGAAATCAACAGTCAACACACGCCGTCAAGAACCAGCTAAACAATTATCTATGTTCATATATGTATGTATAAATATATAAGATATTTGTATATTTCATAGCTCAACTTTTTAAGCTCATTTCATTTTCATAGCAGCCAACCAGGCCGGCCCAATGCTGAGATCATTACTAAGCGATATAAACAAAATGTTCCATTATTTAACTCTTTACAACATACAATATTTACATGGAGATTTAAAAACAAAAAAAACTTAGTTAAGCTCATAACTTACGCGTACATTCCAACCAAAAAGTCGCCAGCGGCAAACCGGCAAACGCAGCACTCTGAGCGACGAGGTGCATAGTAAGACGCAGCAGAGAGCGCGCACCCTTCATAATTTGGTGACTTTTGTGGGTAGTAAATTAGTGGTAGCGTGGACCAGGTTTAACTGCAATGTTTTTCATTTTATTTTTAATTTTTATTTATTTTTTTCATTTAAACTGCTTGCTGCTTGGTATTTTCTAAGCGAACGCAATGGTCTCACTACTCATAGCCTTCTTTGCAGCCACTCATCTGGAAAGAGTAAAGAAACGCGAACGGATATACAGGTGAGTGAGGTTAAAGGTGAAAAAAATCATAAATATTCAATAAAATATATGTGGTTTGTGTGTGTCTGTGCAATTCGTGATTAAATGGTTAGTTGGACATGAAGGTTATGAATACCTACTTAAAATTAATTATTATTAAACGAAATTGAAATGAAGAAAGTACATATTTCGTTGCTAATAAGAAACGAAATTAAATTAAATTAATCTTACAAATCTTGATTACGAAAAATTAAAAGATTAACAGAAAGCAATACATACAGTAATTCATAAACTCTTTTAATACGAGATAAGGCAATAAAAAAATAATTTTTTGTTCGTGCTAAACTCTCTAACTACTGGACCGATTTTAATGGTAAACTTTTTAGAATAACTTATTTGTGCTGCTCCTTGCATCGGAGTTTTTGTTTACTGAAATTTTAAGACTAAAAAGCTATGCCAAATGTATGAAGATTTAGAAGAATTTATTAACAATACTACGATATACGAAACTGTATGCTTTTCAAGCGTTTATGTTGGGAGAGAATATCAAACTACTTAATATTGTTCCCTACTCTCTTACAAATAACAATCTGTTTTGCTGTTTAAAAGAACAAATTTGCACTACAAAAGAACATAATGTTCTATTTAAATCAAAACCACTCTATGCTTCGTGGTCTAAAAGCAATGGAGTAGGCAACTACTCAAAAAGAGGGGCACTATTAGCCTCCACCAGGAAATTAACCGTCCTTAAAACCAGTTTGAAGTCGAATAAACTTAATGTAGTGCCCATACGTTTGCATCCGATACCGTCGACCGCTTCGAAGAAATGTTTTTGGAGCACTTTAGCTCTTTTTCCTGCTAAGCCTGAACAGTAAATAGATAATGGAGGAGGTATAGTAAAGTATGGAAAAGCCTAATCTGGCTACACGCAGAGGTCCATAAATCTCCTGTATTCTAGCAGATCATCTTCCAAAGCACAAATTACTGAGCGGTAAACCAAACGCGGAGTATGAAAATCCTACAGAATACCAGAGACCTCACAACCGGACATACTAGTTCTTCGGTTAGCGCTTCAGTAGAAAGATTTGAAATTGTTTCGCAGGCTGACATTTCCTTACTCAGTTCATCTTACTCATTTGCACTGAATTGGAGTGCCCAGTTATGCCAAGTGCTTGATTTACTATAAGTACATTTGAGCAAATTTAGTATAAGTAAAAAATTTAAAAATATTTTTTTTTTAAATATTCAAGACGGTACTAAAGGAGTTTAAGTGCAATGTGTATACCAAATTTGGTCGAGATCGTTCAAGTAGTTTTTGAGATACGCATATATCATATAAGTGGGCGGTGCCACCCCCACTTTCCTAAAATTTCTTGAAAACCCACTTCTTTGCTCAAGAGCGTTTGATATCAATTTCTAATAAATATTGATGAATTCCTTAGTCACACTGCTAAAAAAAGTCTGAAATTCCGGTACATAAACAATAGAAATTCAAGGCCGTATTTAAGAAAAGTTGCCTAACTTCGACAATTTTTATGAGATCGCAAACAATTTGTTCGCCGGCGATGGTTGCAAACGCCGTCGGATGAAAAGCACAATTCGCCGGCGGGCTGCAAAAACGACTCCCCTGCAGCCCGCAAAAACGATATACCAGAAAACTGCAAAACGATGCTCAAAATGTATGCCAAATTTAAAGTAAAAGTACAAAATTTAAGAGAAACTTCATACCCACACACTTTATTTTTTATTAATAAGGCCAATAGAGCTTAATTTTCTGATTTCGAACTCGTCTTCGCCCTGTGCAAAATTGGGTAGTGAAATTGGGGGTTGAAGGGAAATGTGGCGCCTCGATGGCATCACTGGGACATGCCAACGTCACTCTATGCTGCGTTCCCATGCATAGCAAATGGAAAGGAGCAAGCTGAGATATGTACCAATAAACGAAGCCGGCAAGCTATGCCTTACATGGTTACCACTGAAAAACGCTCTTTCCTACCAAAAGTTGGTTCAAAACCCTACCGAAATGGCTTCTTTCCTACCATTTAAGAAAATGGCGTTTGACGGCGGTAAATAATTTTTTTTTCGCTGATTTTTATACTTTATATAAAATTTTCAGGTAAATAAAAAGATCAGAATAATAGCTAGTATATACATAGCACACAAAAAAAAAGTGATGTGAGCTTTCAACCAGACCCACGTACCGACATGAAATTGGACCCGCTGAACCCGAATCTGAGGTCCGTTCGGCCCTCAAAATTTCGGACAAATTGCGAAAGACCGAAAAAATTACAAAAAATTCGCATAGTGTAGAGTTTTAATAAAGACTTCGGATTAAACGAAGTATATACAGTCAGCGTCAAAAATATGAATGCCCTGCGTTTTGACGATTTTCTTCTTTTATATTTGCCATACCAATTTTTTTATATTTTAATAAAAATATAATTCATTCTACAGCAAAAACCAGCAGAACCAATTTTTTCTATTTCACATAGAACTTTGGAAAATTCAAGAAATACCAAAAAATTTCCATCACAATTTTCAACTTTTCAATTCGATTTCTTAGAAAAGTTTTGAGTACGCAGTTTTCTACCCCATTCAATTTTAATATAATAAGGCGCAACTTTCAAGTCTCTAGAAATCACCGTTGATTTTTGATTTCCTTTTTTGCAATGTGTTTTACATTTTTTTCCATATAACGCATGAACAAAATTTATTTTTATATGGAACAAAATTTGCAACAACCTCGACAAAAAAAAAAATTCTCAAAAATCAACGGTAATTTTTATAGACTTGAAACTTCCACCTTGTTATACTAAAATTTAATGGGCTACAAAACAGAATAGCCAGAATGCATACCTAGGAAATGGAACTGGAAAGTTGAAAGTCTTGATGACAATTTTTTGGTAGTTCTTGAATTTTCCCGAATTATATATGAAATTGATAAAATTGATTCTGCTGGTTTTTACTGTTAAACTAACTGTACTTTTATACAGAAAAAAAAAACATTTGGTATGGAAAATATAAATAAAGAAACATCTGGGTATTCATATTTTTGACGCTGACTGTATATGTACATAAATAAGTAAGGTAAAAATAAGCCTCACGGTTAGGCTTGCCAAATGTCCGGGTCTAGGAGCCGCCGGGCTGGAGGAAAAATCTGCGCGCTGCGTGATTGCCATTAACTTCTTCTTGATAACTGATATTATATTCTTGATTAACTGACAAAGTGACACACTACAACATACCAGAGATGTTTTCTGTTTTATGGGCAAAGAAACCTACTAAAATTTTAATCGTCCTACCATCCTACCAACGAGAAAAAAACTACCAATTTTCGTATGAAAAGCTCAAAACCGCAACCCTGATGCCTTAGCGAAGCGAATGCCAAAGAATTCTCTCTGCAGAAATTTCAGCAGTAAGAATGAGGAAGAATCAACTGACTCGTGCACCGCCTCAATTTCATTTGCGATAGGTAGGCAAATATTTAAATATTAATAAATATAAAAAATTTATGTATATGCAGTTTTTAAGTTTGGAATATGTATACGCATTTTTAAATGTACAAATATTATGTCCTCCTGTTAGTGGCCAACAACCTAGATCTAGTTTTTAAGGGCCACAAAAATTTTTGTCCAACTTTTAGTGACCAAAAATGTATGTCCATTTTTAAATGAGTAAAAATGGATACTGAAATTTACGGTAATTAATTTATCAAATATTTATACTACGTTTTTAAATGACCAAAAGTTTTTGTACATTTTTTTGTAACCGAAAATTTTTACGAATTTTCGAAATTAATATTTCATGCCAAGTTTTTACATTTATTTTATCTATGTGCAATTTTAAAAGACAAAATAATTTGTGTCCAGTTTTTAATGTCCAAAGATTTATGTCCAGCTTATAAATTAGCAACTATTTATTTTCAGTTTTTTTCAATAAGCTAAACATTAGATCCAGTTTTTAATTTGCATAAATCTATGTCCAGCTTTTATTGCCAAAAAATGTATGTCCAACTTATTAATTAACAGCTATTAACTTTCAGTTTTAAATTGCCAAATACATTTTTTTTCAGTTTTTAATGTTCAAAAATGTATGTGTGTGTCCAACTTATTAATTAAAAACTATTTACTTTTGAATTAGCAAAAAATTATGTCCAATGTTTAATGTCCAGAAATTTATGTCCAGTTTTAAATTACAAAATAATTATACGTATACAGTTTTAATGTCCAAAAATTCATATCCAACTTATTATTATTTAAATTACCAAAAAATTGTGTTCAAATTTTATTGAAAAAAAATGTATGTCCACGTTATAAATTAACGTGTTTACGTATATACTTACTTTCAGTTTTAAACTACAAAAAAATCATTGCCAATTTTAATGTCCAAAAATGTATGTCCAGCTTATTAGTTAGAAACTATTTACTTTCAAATCACCCAAAAAATTATGTCCACTTTTGTATGCCCAAAAATTAATTACAACTATTTACTTGCAGTTTTAAACTACCAAAAAATTAGGTATGTCCAGCTTTTAATGTCCCAAATTTTATGTCCAACGTACTAATTTACTATTTGTTTTCAGTTTTAATTAATCAGAAATTTATGTCCAGGTTTTAATGTCCAAAAATGTGTGTACAACTTATTAATTAACAAATATTTACATTCAGTTTTTAAATGATCAAAAAGTGTTTTGAAACAAGAAAAATTTATGTTCACTTTTTTATGGCCAAAAACTGATTTCTAATTTTTATGTTACTAGAAAATTATGTCCGATTTTAAAGTGATCGAAATTAAAAGTTAAATTTAAAGTTTAAATTGTCAATCAATTAGGACCAGTTTTTAGATTTCTGATTGAGGGGTTAAATTTAACGCCATTTCTTAGTGTAAGATGGTATCGATGTGTTCTTTATGTGCTTATGTATATGTAAATGTTTATTTTTGTACGATATGTGTGTATGAAAAATGAAGGAGTGTATGATTGGAACACTTACATACTTTACAGCACGATTCCGAAATGTTTCCTGCTCCATATCCCGTATTTTATGTGTCAGCATATGCTGTTTGAGGTTACCCTGCGGGAAATTAAAGAAAAAGAAGAACGGAAAAAAATTTTGGTAAATTTTAGTTTTTTGTTTGGAGAGTTTAAAATAAAAAGCAAAAAAAGAAATTAAAAAAAATCAAATTAAAAAGCCAAGCAAAGTAAAATTTTCAACAAAAAATATCAAATTAGGAAATTTCATCTGTTTATTTTTTTTTTTTTTTTTTTTCAAAAACTTACCTTTGTAGTAAAACCGCGATCACAGATTGTACACTTGAATGGTCGCTCCTTAGTGTGACTGCGATAATGAATTTCTAAAGCTGAATGACAGGGGAATGTTTTGAAACAGATGCCGCAGGTGGTGCTCCCTCGCACGCCTACAAAGCGAAATTTTTTCGCAAAAAAAGAAAATTGAAAACGCATTAAAATCTTGAAAGGCCAAGCAGCGTACATACAGACACACACACACACACACACACAGATATGCATGGTAATAAAGCAAAATCCTCATTTAATTAATTGAAAAGATGAAGTTAATTAAACTCAAATTTATAGCCACAAATACCAGTTACGCGTGCGCAACTGAGCATAGCTAATAAATAATTTCACTAAAAAAAAAAACGAATGCTAAACACCCGAAAGTGGGTCAATGTATTGCATAGAGCAAGCAATTAAAAACTAGGTACTCACCGGAAAGTGCAAGTGGATTGAACGGTGCCGCCGGCATTACCGACTGCGCAATCGTATTCATTGCCGAGCACATCGTTTGCGCTGTGGCCGGCGGGAAGAGCGGCAGGTTGGGAAACATGCCGAAGGGCGGACGCGCTGCAACCAATGGATTGGGTGGCTGTGGTCCCTGTGGTGGTAGCGAGCCTGCGGGCTGTTGTTGTTGCGCCGCCGCTGCTGCTGCCGCCGCCGCCGCCGCCGCCGCCTGTTGATGCTGCTGCTGTTGTTGCAGATGATGCGCCAAGTGTGGTGGCGGCAACGAAAGCTGATGCGGTGAATGTGCCGACGCATGCGCCGCTTCCTGTTGCTGCTGCTGTTGTTGTTGTTGGCGCATATGTTGCTGATGCGCCGCCTGATGCTGCTCTTGCTTGATTTGGTGTTCGCGCCTTAGCTGTTCGGCATGCAAAGCGACGGCATGCTGCTGCAACTGTTGATGATGGTGCTGCGCTTGAGCTTGCGCATGCGCCGCCGCTGCTGCTACCGCTTGCTGTTGCATTAGATGCTGGTGTTGCTGCTGCAGATGGTGATGCAGCACCGGCGGCAGGCAGTCGACAGCCGATGGGGGTACCAGCGGTGAGGTAAGCGCCGCTGCGGGACTCAGTTGTGGGTGCGACTTTTGAGTCGGCGCCGATGTGGGGCTTCGTGCTGTGCTGCTATTGGCGCTGCTGTTGCGCACCGGTGGCGTGGGCGATTTGCGACCCCCCACCACAGCTTGAGGAGCTGCAGACGTCAGCGCTGGCGAACGTGAGCTGTTGCTGCTGTTGTTTTGTTGCATGGGCATGGCGCGTGGCGTTAGATCTAGAGCACCTTGTGATGCTTCGGACATGGAGCGCGCAGGCGAGCTGGTGCGTGTGGAGCAGTGACGCGGCGCGCCCGAGCTGGGGCTGGTTGGCGCCGAGTTTACCGAGTTGGCATTGCTGGCAGTCGAACGCGGACGCGGTGTGGTGTTCACGACACCGGTGGCATCGATGCGCAGCTTTTGTTCGAAGAGCAAGCCTTTGAAGTCATCGCTGGATTTCGGTCGATCGCCGACGTCCAAGTCGTGCGCGCTGGACATGTGCTCTGAGGATATATCATCGTCGAAGTCATCGCCGCAGTCGATGTTATCATCCATGTCGCCCTGCGATGACTCCGAGCCGAGTGTGCCATTGTGTGGGCCCAGGTGACTCATGGCGGCGCCAGCGCCTGGCATGGCGCCGAAGTGGAAAGCCGCGGCTGCGAAGGGATTCATGAAGGCGCCCGGCATCATTGACGGTGGTGGATCACGTATCTCGGCTGCTTGTATTTGCTCGGGTGTGAGATCAGTCGGCTCGCCGGTATGCAGCCGTATATGCTGCTGTAGGACCAGCGCATTCGAGTACTTTTTGTGGCAGACGGGACATTGGTGGAAATTGCGCATGGGTGGCCGGATCTTGTGCACTGCCATGTGGGTTTTCAGATTACCTTTGGTGGTGAAAGCGCGTCCGCAAATGCGGCACTTGAATGGGCGTTCGCCAGTGTGCGTGCGGTAGTGCATCTGAAGCGCGCTCTTGCATGACAACACACGATCGCATACGACGCACTGGTTTGGGTCGCTGAGCTTCTTGTTCTTCATCAACTCCTTCAGTTTCAGCGTCTCCGAGGTGTTCGAAACCTCGATGAAGTTCTCCCACGAATTGTCATTGCTGTGGGGGCGTGGTAGCAGCGCCATCTCGTGGTTGATGGGGTTGAAGAATGGCGAGCGTTGTAGGTGCGCGGGTGAGCGTATGGGCGAATGGTGTTCGGGCGAAAGATTTTTGGTAAAATTCAGTGGAAAGCGTTCGGCAAAGAAGTCATCGCGGTGATGCAAAGATGGCGGCAGCTGACCGGGTGTGGGCAGGTGATCAATATGGTTGTGGGCGCCCGGCGAGGGATGCGGATGCCTAGACATGGGTGGTTGCGCTGGCTGTACAACAGGTGGCATCGTCAATGGCCTGGATGTGGGTGTTGGAGGTGTGAAGGGCGCACTGGCGCATCTTTGAGATGGTGATAAGGAGGTACGTGCAGGTGTCGTCGCACGCTGTGCAGGTGGTGTGTCTGCGCGTTCCATCTCTTCGTCTTGCGAATCCGTATCGATTCGTTCCTCTTTGATTTTTATGTCCAAGGCCGGCGCTGCGTCCTGCGGTGTGGCAACATTTGCACTTTCCGACGGCCGTGACTTGGTAGCTTTTTGCGCCTCCGCTCGAACTTCTTTTTTCTCCTCTTCTGTGATTTCAGTCTTGACTGGCAGTCCGGGTGAATTAGATGCCGAGGACTTACGCAAATCAGTTGGCATATCCTGATTACTCTCCTTGGATGCATGCCGAGTCGCTGGCGTTTCCGCGCGTGACTGCCCAACTGGCGGCATATGCGGAAAGAATGGATTTGGGAAACCCGCGTTGCCCAACGACTTCAGCAGCTCCATTGGCGGCCGATACAGACCGGGAAGTCCGGGAAAGGCAGCGCCTGGCGGAAAAGGTAACGGCAGCGATACTGGCGGCATCTGTTGGGGCATTTGTTGTGGCAACGCTGCCGGCGTATGCGTCGGCGAACTATCCGGCGACATTTGATCCAACAACGGTGGGTGGAACTTGTCCAAGTGCTCGGGTATGGGCGTGGCATTCATCGGTACATGCGGGAACTTATGTGCGTGTCGCTGAAAGTGCACTTTCAGATTACCTTTGGTGGTGAAGCGGCTGCCGCAGACGTTGCACTTGAATGGACGCTCGCCAGTGTGGGAACGTATGTGTATTTGTAGCGCCGAATCAGAGCCGAACACTTTGCCGCAGTAGCGGCAACGATGCTTAAAGAATGGCTCATTTCGATTCTTGCCATCGCCATTTTTATCACGAAACGCAAACTCATCGGCCATATTGTTCGCGAGTATACCTTGCGAGGCGGAATCCAGCACCTCTTGCGCGCGCTTCTGCAACATCTCCAGCGAGTTGGGCTCGGGCAGATCATCGTGATTGGTAATAATGGTCGACGCCAAATCCGAACCGTAGGGCAGCGGCATATTCTCGAGCGCTTTCAGTTTGCTCAGCGCATCCGATGATGTTGGTATTTGTTCGCTCAAACGCGCGCCTTCTGCGCTTGCACGCGTCGTCACCTCTACGCTCATGCGTCTGGTAGCAACGCTAAAGGCGTCCGCATCCTCATCATCCTCGCGCTTGCGCTTGAGTGACTCTGCCGCGCCGGAGGAACCGCTCGCTCCGCCTGAGGTACTTGGCTTTGTCGTACCGCCGGCGTTTTCATCAAGCAGCGGCACACCAGCATTAATAAGATGCTGCCGCGCCTTTGCTTCAGCCATGCGCGCCTCCGCCTTCTGACGCAATTCCATCTCGGCAATGCGCTCTTCCTCCTCATACGTATCCTCCTCGCCATCTTCGCGTTCCTCTTCCATTTCCTCACAGTCGCCAGCTTCTGCTCCATCGCTCGACCCCTTCGGCTGATTCATGGCCAGCTGTGATTGCAGCTGTTGAATGAGTTGTATTTGAAAGAGTTGTTGTTGTTGCAAATTGAAAAGCGCTTGCTGCAAAAATGCCAATTGTTTCATCGCTGCATCATTATCGCCACCCTGCGCGCCATTCGCTATCGTCTTGGCCGCAAATTGCGCGATAGCCATTTGCATATTCTGTATGGCTTCCAAATTGACGGGCGCAGCTCCAAAAGCGGCAGCGGCTGCAGCGGCTTGTGGCAATGCGCTAGCGGCGGCGAGCGCGCTTGAGGTGGGCGTTAGTGATGCAGAAATGGGCTTTGCTAAGTTGTCATCTGACTCGCCAGCAGCCACTGCATTGCTGCTCACCGAGCCACTGGTCTTTGGTGTCGCTAAATTAGCTGGCGATTCGCTGGTTAGCTGCTTCACCGCCAATCTTTCTGTAGCTGGTTTTACTTGCGCTTCTTCCGCTCCATCTCCATCTGCTTCTTCATTGTCATTCCCATTGTTGTCCTCATCTTCCATCGCTGACGCGCGCCGCTTTTTCGCAGCGCCTACTGCCACATAAAGCTGCGCTCTCGCTTGCTTCTCCGCATCCATGTGTGTGGGTGAATCAAATTTGCTGTTGTTTGTAACACAAGCGTTATCTGCCGGATATGTGTTGTATGCTGGTGAACCGGCAGCGCTAATTGCTGACGCTGCGCTGTCGCCACCTGCCATTGTTTTCGCTACCACCGCCGCATCGGCAAGCGATTTCAGCTGTAGTAAGCGCTCCACAGGCGTTGTGCCGCGCGCTTGTTCTAGTCGCGTTGGCGATGCACCGGACATCAAAACACTATTGGCGCTGCTGTTGCTATTGCTGTTGCTGTTTCTGGTGTTGTTGTGATTGTGATCTTCGTTGAGCGCAACGTCGTGCGCAGCAGCAGCAGCGGCAGCAGCCGTATCGGCTTCTGTTGTTGTGCTATTTTCAGCCACATCGGCTGCGCTTTGTGTGCAATCTTGCGCTTGTGCCGCCGCAACGGACAAATCATTGCCAATTGCGCTGTGCAACGGCGTAGCAAGCACATCCAAAGCTGTCATTGTTGTTGTTGCTGTTGTAGCAGGGTCTGTTGTATTGTTACTAGCCACTTCTTGACTAGCAATGGGTGAACAGCAAGCACCATTCTCCTCCTGATCGCTTGTATCATCTAAAGTTGCACGATGGCGAGCATAAAAAAGAGAAGAAGCAGAAAGAAGAAAACATAATGTTTAATATAAAATGGAAAAATTGGAAATCTTACAACGTAACGCTTAGCGCGCCACGGAAAAAATGTTAAAGCAGGTGTAAATGAGCGTCCCCACGGACATAAAACCTAACAAGCTGGAAAATGAGGTCCCTCAGCGTAGAGCATCGGCAAAACGGAAAGCGAAAAGCGTGGCGGACACAGACTAACCACAGCACAGTACTTGTAAGCTGAAATCTGCAGAGGCATGTAACGAACTAACTAACTAATGCCGCACTGCCGCCGATGAGGCGCGACCGCGCGCTTGCTTGCAATCGCTTGACTGCCAGCGCTGCTAAGGCGGCAAGTGGCTGGCTCGTTATGCGGTTGACTTACTGGCTTTCAGGCTCTCAAGTGCCCACATACAACCAACGATTACTAACAACTTGCTTTCGTGTCCACATGCTTTTCGCCATTTAATGAAGAGTTGGCAGCAGTGGCAAGTGAGGTAGCAGCAGTACTTATACGTATAGTGGCAGCAGCAAAGACAAAGCGTTTGGTAGAAAAAAAAGAGTTTATTTAAAGAAGAATCGCACAAACTAAAGTGTAAGAAACAAAGAAGCTTAAAGCTCATTTTTTATTTGTTGTTTTTTCGTCGTTTTGCGCAGACGCTAACTGCTTGCCATTGCCATATTGACTTGTCATAATCGTGCCATATTTATGTGCTTATACATTCAATAAATTGTGGCTTTTTTGTTAGCTGCTGGAGTTGTTGCTATTGTTTTTGTTGTTGTTGTTGTTAATGATTAAACATATGTTACAGTTAACAATGTGCGCTGTGCCTTTAAACGGCGATTCATGCGAATCTCGAACAGGATTTAATGATCATGGGAATGCAAAGGAAATCGATGGACAGGTACAGTGTTTCAGAAGAAGTCAAATTTTTAAATTTTTTTTAATTTTTTTCAATTCGGCTTTTTAAAACGTACATAATTTTTAAAAGTGTAAGGCATTTTTTGCAAATTTTTTTTTTCTAAAAATATTAAATTTTTAATTCACATGAAAACACTGCGATTTATTTAAGAATTGAAAGTGATTGGCCGATAAAATTCGTTGTTTAAATAGTAATGGCTTTGTAGATTGAATAAAAGATGCAGTACCGATACCAAATAACCCATGAATAACCGATGATTAAATAATGCGTAACCGTTAAGGAACCAACAAATAATCGAGCGACAAGAAAGATATTTCAAGGCCATTGGCTTTGCAGGATTAAATAAAAAAAAAAAGAGTACTAAATACCCAATATATATATGTACATATGTATAACCGACGTGTAACTGGTACATAACCGATAAATACCCGACAACAAACGGATGGAAAAGTCTTAAATATTTCTTTGCTGCTTAAATTTAAAAAAAAAATAACTAACATATGCATAAGTGATCATTAACCGGTAGATAAGTGACTAGTAACCGGTACATAACCCATAGATAACCGATTGATGAAACTGAATATTAAAACACTATTTTGAAACTAAAATTTGAGCGCATCGAATAACCATTAAATAACCAATGCGTAACCTATACATATCCGGTGATTCAACCGTGAATAACCGATCAGTGAAACCGAGTAAAATTAAATAAAGATGATTTTTTTACAAGTTTTCGTCGTTCCTTTAAAAATTCGTTCCAAAATAAATCTTCTTCCAACCCTGTCGGAAAAATTTACCAACAATTAAACAACGATCTTTGCAGTTTAAAAAATTTCCGAGTCCTAAATTGCCATTAAGTAACCGGTGCGTAACCGATAAACTCTTATTCTGCTTCTTTGTCGTCGCTGTATACGCCTAAGTGATTTTGGCCGAGTCCAACAAAGCGCGCCGATAAATAACCACTGCATAACCGAGCGATAAAGTTAAAGAAAAGATTTCTTAACGTTTGAACACCAATGCATACCCGATAACAAACCGGTACATAACCGACATATAAACATCAGAATAATAGTTTGCTAAAATTAGGTAAATTTAAATAGAGCTCTTTGCGTTGTAAATAGAAAAATTCAGAGCATCAAATAACCAAGCCATAACCGGTAAATAACCGGTAGATAACCAATCGGTAAAAGTGAGAAATTTAAGCAAATCGTTTTTGTTGACTGGGAAATAGATCAAAATATAGTGAACGCCTACAGATGACAAACATGCCTCATCTTCCTTATTGGTTCGGTAATCGCTTGAACAATTTTGGCTGAAAACAATATTTTTGAATACAAAATTTCTAATATTGAACCAAGAGCAACGAATAACTTTCGAAGAAAAAACTCTCCACACTTTTTTTATTGGAGCTAATCGTAGATAGATAACCAAAATAACAAGATTTTGAAGGAAAACGTCAAAGAAATCTTAACTGGTAAATTACAAACTGATGACTGATCGAAAAAGAAGATGACAATTTTAAGAGAAAGTGTTTTGAGGAGGAAACTATGAATTTCTTACCATATTTCCTAAGCCCATATGTATCATATTCGCTCAATATATTTTTTTAATTTGCACAATATGCTTTGTCTTGAAAACTAGGATAGCTCCTGGGGAGTGAGTGAATACAATAAGTTTAGTCCTCTCCATCGCACTCTAACAGGGCAATTCTGGCAAAGATAGTAAAAAGTCTTTCGCAAGGCAAGTGAACGACAGATGGTAAGATAATTCTAAAGACCTTTGTCGTTCTAGAACAAAAGTCTTAGAAAAAAAGCTCTCTCATTCACCACTCGTGCTGAAAATCTATTTTGGGAGAAAGCACATAACCGAGTGAACAAACCACAGGTCTTCCAGTTGAAAGTTTCCAGTTCGAGTCTCGCGCAGCGAATTTTTTTCTTTTTTTTTAATTACCTTCATTTCTTTCTTTTTCATTTAAGTTGTTTTTTTCTAATTTTATATGTAAATATATTTGTATTTGTTTTAATTTAGTTTAATTTTTAGAAACTTATTTTTTGTATTTATCTATTTTAATTAAATTTTTTTTCTTTATTTAATTTTATTTACATTTGTGGATGTTATTTTGAAAAGAAATTTTACCCTAATTTCATTTAGTTTTAAGGAACTTATCTATTATATTTTTTCTTTTGTAATAATTTTTTTTTTAGTTTTCTTTTAATTTTTAGATTTCATTGTTTAAAAAATATTTTTTTAAATTTTAATCAATTAGACGCTATTTTAATTTTTTTCTTTTTTTTTCATTTAAGTTGTATTTCTGTTGTTAATTTCACTTTCTTTTAATTTAGGTTTATTTTTTTTAAGAAAAATATTTTTTTATTTAATTTAATTTTTAGGATCTTATTTCACTTTTTTTTTTTGCTTTTATTTAACTTTATTTTAATTTTTGATTTGGTTTTAAAATATTAATTTTTTAAGATTTAAGTATTATTTTCTTTTATTTTGACACTTAATTTAATTTTTGACTTTATTTTTTTTTTTAAGAAAAAAATCTTAAATTTTTATTAATATTTTTTTTTTACTTTTGCTTTATTTGCATTTTATTTTATATTTATATTTTTTTCTTTTATTTATTAGTTTTTATTATTTAAAGTATATATTCTCATTTTTGTTGTTGGTATTTCCGACAGGGTAGGAGTGTGATGTAATGTGGAACGATTTTCCGTCATCCCTTGTCAAATTTGGTTTGGAGACAAACCGGTTTCGGCGTTGTGCCATCTTCAGTGTCATTTTTCGTATATATATATTTTTTTTTAATTTAATTGAATTTTTAAAAATCTTATTGCTAAAAGTTGAACACCATAACGCTAAGGCCTCCTCGTTACCAGATGTTTCAAATAGTCTTTCGAAAAACAGTAAAGAGCTTTCAAAATACAAGTTGCCAGAATTGACAATACTTAGTCTTACGAAAGACTCCACTGTGCTTGCGCGTCTTAGCTAAAAATTGCTATAAAAATAGATGTTGTTTTATTTTTTTATTATTGTTTTTTACCAATGCAATATTTTTTCTTCTTAAAAAAGCAAAAAACTGCCTAGCAGCTACTCATGTTCCTTGCACCTGAGCCCACAGCCCACAGCCCGTTTGGTGTGACCATTACACCTGTTTGCTAACCTGCTGCTGCCACTTCTGCTGCCGCTACATACGAGTACTAAGCCATTGTTGCGCTGGATGGCCCCCAGCTGCGTTATGGTGCTACTCGCTTCGGTTTAGCTTTAGAAGACTGGGCTGTGGTGTGGTAGCCTTGCAACATGTTTGTCGCGCGCATTTGGCATTCGGCATGCGGCATGCGGCATGCGGTTGCAGCGAGCATTTCATAGCGCATAACAGGCATACGGCGTGATCGCGCCATAATCGCATAAAAATCTTTCACTAATCCAAGCGGCAGCACTAAAAGCAGCAAAGTCAAGTCAAGCCAATAGCAACAACAACAAACAATACAACAACTAATGCATGCAACAAGTAATGCAAGTAAAATCGGTGGAAAACTATAGAAGCTAAACAACAACAGTATCTAATAATAACAACAACAGGTGCTGAAGTGACATTCAGCAAAGCAAAAGGAGTGTACAACGAGTAGTGGGGTTTGTGTGGCTGTTGTGACTTGTTGTTGTACATACTGCATTTGTTATTGCATGCTAGTGGTTGTTGTTGTTGTTGTTACTATTGTGTCTCAGTTGCCAGCAGCAAGCATAGCATTTGTTTTTTTTTTTGTTTTTTTTTTCTTGTTGTTGTCTAAGTGTATTTACTTGGAAGTCACTGTATTGACTTGTCACAGCTTTCTGATTAATTCTTCACTGCTTTATTAGCAGTAGAGCAATTAAGAGACGATTCTTTAATTGAAATTAGAAATAAATCTGTTTTTCTGTCTGTTCAACTCCGTTTTAATTACTTTCAAATGCTTCACACTTCAAAAATGTAGCCACATTCAGCGAAAGATTAGCGAAAAAGTTGATGTATTTATTACCTTATTAGGTTACATTTTGGTGTGGGTAAAAT